TTCCTTTGCTTTCTTGCCTGTGGCTACATTTCTATCTCTGCATCAATTAGCACAGTGATTTATACAACAAGCAAGCAGTTTAGGGGTAATGGTACGCAATTAACATCTCATTCCACCATAAAGGGTATGCTAAATACCCCAGTCATTGCTTTCTCTGCCTGGAGTTGAAATAAGTGTTTGTCCTAATTCATATGCTATCTGATGTGAAGTGGGCCTGCTTTGTACTGCACTACACCATTAATCTAATTATAGGTAGCTGCAAATGAAGTGCTGTCTGCGCTGGGAGGGTGAAGAAAATAGCCTTTTGTCATTTAGCCTGACTCGGTGAAGCAGGATCCCACTTTACGGGGCAGTACTGCAAAATGGAAATCTCCATAATATTGCTGCCTGTTGCATCTTTTCTAATTGCCACCGCATTGTAAACACAACTGGGTGCTGATATAAATAGAGCTGTAGATCTGCTGTCATGTGGGTTGTCGGGAGAGAGTCCTCCGAGTGCTGTTGGATTAAATGATGCGTCCTGATTGACAGCTACCTCGAGACTGTGCGGATGGAGTTGTCACCGCGCTCGGCTAGGAGGCCGCCCCGGTGGCTGCCGCCGTACACGCTGTTCCGTTCACCTTCTCCGCCGGGGGCGTCCCTCGCAGAGAATGGCAGCTCCGGGATCTAATTCTCCGTGCTTCCTGGAGAGTTCGGCCCGGTTGGCTTTGCTGGGCCCGATGCTGAGGAGAGGGAAACGCGTTTTGCATGGCAGCGAACCCTCGCTCCGTTTGGCCTCCAGTGTTAATGGTGTAGCCCACAAAGATCTTAGGGGGGAAAAAAAGTTGAATTAAGATTCTCATTCCACCTCAGTGATTTTAGAGACATGTCATGTTTTGCAGCGAGTCGATTCTGTCACTTTAAGAGCATTGACAATTGCTCTCCAGCTTGGAGTTAGGAGAGTAGACTTTCAGGGGCACACTGGAGTGTTAGCTCTCAAGGCCACACTATGGAAATGAAGACCCAGTTGAATGTGGGGAACTCCTGGGGTCGGGAGGTAGAAAACTAAAGAGGGAGAAGAGAGCCTTGTATCTGGAGAAATGCATGGCCCCCTGACTTGGTGAGGGCCCATATATAGGATGTGGCCAGGGCTTCAGGATGTTAAGGGAATCGATGTAAAATAATGCCCAGTGAAGTTCATCATTTACCCTTGACCGAGATGGTCCACAGTTGCCAGGCAAGAACACTAGCAGTTCAGCAACTGTACCTCAACTCCTCGTTGTTTTGGAAGAATGACATAGAAATGGAAACCAGAGGTGAGCTACTTGCAGAGTAAATCACAGCTGAAAATATATGTAAAGCAAACTGCAAGCACTCATCTCGCAAGGAGCCCACAGACCTTGGAATCATGCAGGTGCGAGCACGTGGGATGTGTCCAGTCGCTGGGAAACTGGGAGACCTCAGAGGCTCGAGGATTTAAGCTCCCCGGGGCGATGCAGAGGCCAGCAGCAGGGTGTTCTGTGTGACCACCTGAGTGGAGCATGTTCATAGTGAGGGCTGCACTCCTGTCCATGGCACATGGAGCCGTGCGTGTGCGTGTGTGCATGCCTGCTACTGGTGGGCGGCGGGCCCATTTGCAGGGTGTTTTCCTTAACCAATCTGATCCAAAAGCATGTATCCCTCCCAAACCGTGACCGCTCTCCCCTCCTTCTCCCCCAACTCCCACAGCTCCCTGCTCCCCACCCTTCCCCCGTTTTGTCAGGTTCCATGTTAAGAGCTGCATGTTAATTTTTAAAACAATTCCATTGTGCCCCTTTTAATCATCCATTTCTCGTAGTTTTCGTCCTGATCCTTTTATGTCTGGTGTGATTCCCTTCTCTTTCTTCTTTTGAACTTGTTGGGAGAAATTTTCGTGTTAGACATGGTTTTACGTTGCAGACACCATACAGTTGATTAGCTTAGAGACCCGGCCTGGGGTCATGAGACAGCACCTCATTCCTTCCCATTACTGTCCTGCGCGGAGCCCTGGAGAGCACTTGTTCTGACGCACACTTGCACTGTGAGCTGTGTTTTTCAAGAACGTGATCATTTGCCTGTGGGTTAGGAGCACCTCCCTAAAGCCACAGTGAGGCTCCATCTACTGATGAACCCAGAGCGAGTCCAGCTCAGGCCCCGCCGCCGAGTAGCGTCTAATCCCTCATGACCTTGCAGGGTGAGAGCCTTCTGGCCTCCTAGAGGATTGGACTTCCGTGTCCTGTCAACCAGCCTTTAAAATCTTGGGACTCCCACCCCCAAAACCTCGAGTTTGTGGTTTCCGTGCTTGCAAACAGTCACAACAACTTAAAATTGAACCTCTCTGGGGAAGTTCTGCAGAACCCATTAGGAATAGTTAAATGCCTAGAGCAAAACCCCAACTCCGCGCGCGTCCTAGGGCATTTTCCCGAATTCTCTCAGCTTTGGCTGCTCTGCCCGGGCCCCCTAAGAATTCAGAGAAACCAGTAAACAGCAGTTTTGATCATAAGCTCCGAAAGCCTTAGTGTACACTCTTAAGTGATTTCTTTTCTGGGGGCATCAAAAAGCTCTTCTGGTTCTCACCAGGCAGTTCATTCTGCTGGGCCCAGATGCCCTACTGCTCGGCTCCCACCCCAGCCAGTGCCCCGTGGGCCACCGTGCGGGCGAGCCCAGAGCCAAGCCGTTGTTTTAAGAGGCCTGTTTGTGCGGGCACGCCGAAGGGGTCAGGACAACATCAAAGGTAATCTTAAAAAGAGAACCTTCTTGCTGCGTCCTCTTTTATTATTCAGAAAGGTCGTTTCTTAGCCAACTATTTGCACCGAGGCCTCTCCCGAGGCATTTACCCCGTTGTTATTTTTCACTTGTGATTACAATAAGTCGCTTATCCCCCAAACAGATTTAAGAACAATAAACAAATACAAAAAGGAAAAGGAACATCTCATCAATAACAAAGACTGCATCTAAAGGCGTTGAGTTTTGTGACCGTTTTACATCTCTTTCCAAGCAAAGCAGGAGTCCTACGGAGAAAGGAATTCAAAAGATATGAAAATTATAAAAATAGTAAAAGGATCCAGTTTTAGGCAGGATCTTGTAGTTTCTGGGGAGAAATGGAGCTGGGTACAGTCTTAGCTCTTTATTTATATTAAGGCTTGTTTGTGATATAGCTAAAATTAGTTTTTAAGCCCATCCACTGTGGTGAAATGTGATAAATTGTATTATCCTCAGTGGAGAAAGATAGTTTCCCTGAATTTCGACTTAACATTTTGAAGTCAAATGGTACGAAAAACAAGGGGGAAAAAATCCATCTGGGTGCTGCCCCGAAGCTGGACAGCTGGGCCATTTGCCGGCCAGTCCCATGGAGGGGGCGACAGAGGGTGCAGGCAGCTAGAGAAGTGGCTTTCCTGTTGATTCGCCTCCTCCTAGCGATGTTGGGTTTTCTCTTCTAAAGCGGACGGAGCACAGATACGAAAACTGCAATTTGGTACAATTATATTCTCCCTTCTTTCGCTGTCCACCACCTCCCCCATAGTTTAATGAAGGACTTTGAGGTACAATTCACCGTTGATAAATAGTCCCTCTGCCCAGAATGTTTATTAGACTGACAGCAGAATGCACTCTCCTTGCTTTTCCTTTGCCACTTATGACTCAGATGAATTTTAATAGGGGCAAAAAGCTTTTATTTGCACTGTAATTTCACTTAAGGATCATATCCTTCAGAAACTGGCAGACACTTGTATGTCTTGATTGCAAAACACACACTCAGGAGTAAAGAAACATGCAGAAGATGTTATTATGCAACCTGTCACAGTGGCAAATCTGCTCCTCCTGGAGCCCTCCCCCACCCTTTCGAATAAATAGGCCCTGCAAAGAGCAGGCTTGGAGATGGCCCCCACCCCTGTCCAGAATGAGAAGAGTGGGTTCTGTTTTGCTCTCACATCCCTGCCGTCATGATGCCCACAGGAGGCTTTGAGTTAAGGCGGCTTTTTCCCCAGCAATATGGAGCCGCCTCCGTCTTACCCCGGGAGATGCGGCCTGGTAGGAATCCAAAATCTTCAGGTGGTGGTTTCAACTTCCCTGAGTAGCACCTCCTCAAACCATTTTAGTTTGCTTCTTTTTGGACAGACCAAACTGTGGCTCCTGTGTTTATCCACGGAGATGGGGAGGGTTTTTTCCTGCCAGGGAGGAATTCTCTTCTATTAGAAATGTTCTGTTTGACTGAACTCCCTTTAATGTGCCCCTAATTGTTTGAGAGCCACCTACAAAAGGTTCCATTGAAATACTTGCTTGTGCACAACGTTAACTTTCAGTGGTTTTAAAATCTTGATATTATTGTCTCTCAGCGCAGAAGATATTCGTTCTGTATCATCTTAATATTACCCTAACCATCCTGGTACCTTGGAAAGGCTACCTCACGTTGTGCCTAAAAAGAAAGCTGACTTTTCCAGTAGTGAATATAACATATTGTGTCTCTAGAAAAATACTAAATTTTAAATATGATTTTGCCCCAAACAAACACTGAAACCCTTTGTCTTAACTTCTTGGTGGCCCAGTGGCTCTGGAGGGGAGTGGGGAGCGTGAGACAGCGATCTGCTGCCATCTGCTGGCGGGTGCTCGCACAGCCGCCCCTCTCCCTCTGGCTGACCCAGCCAGCTCACGGGATTCCTGTTAACTGGGAGAAGTTTATAAGCGGTGAAGTGAATACAAGGAAAATTGTCACTGTTTTCTTTACGAAGTTTTGAGGCACTTCTCATAATGAGACGGGGTGACTACTGTTTGTCACTAATTAGCTACTGGAACTGTTCTTATTTCAAGAAATTTCTTAAATAATTAGCTCACAACGTGTGCCAGAAGCAAACAAATATATTTTTGTTTTTTAAGTACAGTAATTCAAAACCATTTGACTTCAAAGATGTTATCATTATCAAAGCTAAAAACGGATTCTGCATGAATGATAATTTGAGGAAAATTCTTCATTTAAACTCATTTATGTTTTTTACCCTCCCCTTAAGTATCAGGTGCATATCTTAACCAAACTGGCTGCAGAACTGAACAAATTTATGCCGGAAAAAGTGGCCGAGGACACAAGCAGTATTCTGCGCTCCCCGATGCCTGGTGTGGTGGTGGCCGTCTCTGTCAAGCCTGGAGACATGGTAAGGACCGCGCCTGTCTGTGGGATGGGGCGGACTGAGGCGTGATCATGCTCCGTGCAGCTCTTTCTTGACTCCTGCTCCCCCCATGGAACAGCAAAATAGCTTTTGTGCATTCTCTGTCCAACTGGTGCACATTTGAAGTGGGTTAGTAACCAGATCTCTTGAGTGCCTCCCCCCTCAGAGACCTGGGACTAGAATAGAAATAAGGCCAGATTCATTCTGTTAACTGGCAGATTTAGTATTTTGGAAGTATTTTATTTAAAATTTCTATGTACTTTCTAGCTTTCTGGGCTTTGAGCATCCTTAAAGAACTGATACCAAGAAATAGCCCTTTAATGGGGGAACTTTCTGTATGACTTCTGGAGTAAATGGGAAGGGAACTGAGGAAAGTTAATTCCATAAACCGTGTAGTACCAGAGCCCTTCCGTTACTTGATACATATAATTTAGGATCACAGTTTAAAGCTTTTCATCTCGACCTTGTGACATTAAGGCACAAATCAAAGCTATATTAATATTTTCTCACATGTTCAGTCTTGTAATAACATGCTATGGACAGGTTGGTGGGATACATGCATTTCATAGAGCATGGACAGAAACCTCTATTGATTTGCAGCAAAAATAAGAAGAAAACAAAGATGCAACCAGATTTCTAGAGGATATTTAAATGCTAGTATTTTTATTTACATGCTGGAAAATAATGGCCAAACACGATCATCTTCAATGGATGGTATGGTGATTCCATTTTGTATCTGGGTAAGTCACAGGAGTTTACGCATTTTCCCGTAAAGGGGCATTAAAACTGCCTCTCTATTTCTGTATTAACATAAGTAAAATGTTGAGAAGAACTCATGTAGTTGGCACTGGCTTCTAGAAAGATACTTACAATAAATGAAAATTAAGAAAAAACAATCAGCTTCAGCTGTTTAAATGATTAGTTCTGAAATTGGTAAGTGAAGTTGGAGAACTGACTTAGCAATTGCTTTTACCTGAGGATACGGAAATGGAACTCTACCTGCTTTTCTAGAAAAGCATAGAAGAGGCTCAGTAACCACGAATTGTCATCTTTACTTTGACGGCATTGACATTCCTAGAAGAAAGTGCTCATTAAGACTGTCTTCAGGGGGCGCCTGGGAGGTTCAGTCCGTTAAATGTCTGCCTTCAGCTCAGGTCATGATTCCAGGGTCCTGGGATCGAGTCCTGCATGGACGCCCGGCATTGGGCTTCCTGCTCGTTGGGGAGCCTGCTTGTCCTTCTCCTTCTGCCGCTCCCCTTGCTTGTGTTCCCGCTCTCTCTCAGATACATAAAATCTTTAAAAAAAAAAGACTGTCTTAAGGATTTGGGAGAAGTGATACATAGAAATTACACATATGTTGCATATTATGTATCTTCTTTCTAAAGGGTTAGGGTCGTTAGATGATGTCCCATTGGCCTTGATGTTAAGAATGCCTACACCAGGGGCGCCTGGGTGGCTCAGTCGTTAAGCGCCTGCCTTTGGCTCGGGTCATGATCCCAGGGTCCTGGGATCGAGCCCCACATCGGGCTCTCTGCTCGGCGGGAAGCCTGCTTCTCCCTCTCCCACTCCCCCTGCTTGTGTTCCCTCTCTCGCTGTCTCTCTCTGTCAAATAAATAAATAAAATCTTTAAAAAAAAAAAAAAAAGAATGCCTACACCAAGATATCAAATCACTGTTGTATATCTGAAACTAATGTAATCTGTGTGTCCACTGTACTCAAATTAAAAATTTTGTAAAAATGCCTACACTTGGGGCGCTGGGGTGGCTCGGTTGAGCGGTGGACTCTTGGTTTTGGCTCAGGTCATGGTCTAGGGTCGTGGAATCGAGCCCCGCCTCCAGGTCCTTGCTCAGCAGGGAGTTTGCTTGAGGATTCTCTCCCTCTGCCCCTCCTCCTGCATGCACGGGCGCACTTTCTCTCTCCCTAAAATAAATAAATAAATAAATCCTACACTCAACACGCATCATCAGAGCAGTCTGTGGAATCTTCTAACAACTAGACGCATAGGTTGGTAAATAACGTGGTGGGTTATTTTGTTTGCTTTCCCAGAAGATAAGCCTTTTCTAGAGGCTACATAGGCTGCCATCCTGAGCTTGTCAGTCCTAATTGTGTGGCTTTAATTATAAAATCACATTTGCACTTAAAAACTGTATAAGTGTGTAACTGAAATCCTTACTTTTCCAACACCTGAGTCAAAGCCTGAAGGGAGGCTGGAGGGGGCTCAGATTGTGGTCTTGAGCCTCCTTGGCACCAGCCTCCCTCGAGCCACTCCCGGGGCAGAGAACTGGGAGGATACAGCCTCCTTGTTTCCAGCAACTGCTTTCTCCTGGTCTAGCTTCTCCAGACACCGGGGGGGGGGGGGGGGGGGGTTAGCCTTCATACTTTCCATTTCCTGGCTAATAATTTAATGTGGGAAAGCAAGGCATTTAGTAAATTGGAACAATGTGGTATTAGTCGTTGGTTCATTGGGGTAGCTCAGATACTGAAAACCACCACCAATAATTAAATGTTGGTATTGGAGAAGGGTTTAATTTGAGAACTAACTGTTAAGAATATGTTACTGTGGCGTAATGGGACCTCTATTTTATGTAGTCCTTTAAAGACAGATATGGGGGGTACACCCCTTAGGAGCAAATTGGCTCCTAAGGTCTGTGTTGTTCGCCTTACCCAGAAATGAATGCTCTTCGCACGCCCGTGCCTAGGCTGGTCAAGGAGAGCGCATGCTTTCTTTAATTCTTCTCTCCAGCTTCCCATTGCCACTTTTGTTCCCTGCACAACTTCCTTTCTTATTCTGTGCCATTGTGTTTGATAAAACGGTATTTTCTCTTGAGTTATTATTTGCAAAAAGTGTCCCAAACCGCTAATACCGTCACCAAATGCAGGGGGAGAAGTTTCATCATGGACTCTTAACAGCAGCTTCTATAATTAGATCTGCCTTGTGTAATTAAAACCCAAGAAACTCTCCTTTGACCAAAGGCAGAGCACTTACTTGAGGCCATTATGAGAAAAGAATACTGGTAACTTTAAAGTTTTGTGGTTTTAAATTATTTTAGCACTGCGGGGCATGTTGTGTTGTGCTTAGTACTAACAATAGCTGAGCCCAAGTTCTACTTTTATCGGTAGAAAGATAATGGAATCAATCATCTCTGTGTGTTTTCAAGGAAAACAGGACCTAAGAGACAAATGGGGGCCGGTAACTATTCTCTTATTCTTTGAAATGTTGTGGTTTTTTTGTAATAGTTTAAATTTCAGTAATCTGTAATTTTTGTATTTAGGTTAAGTAAAGCCTGACAGATCTTAGAATGGTGGGCCTGGCAATAATGTGTTCCACAAAAGCATCACATAAATAATAAATAATAAATCTGTTTTGTGAAGTAAAACGTCTTAACGGAGTTAAAAAAAAAAAAACCACCACCTCAGGGCAAAATGATGTGGGGTGGCTGTTCAGAAGTAATAAATGCACTCAGCTTCCTGTGGGAGAGGAGAGTCTTTCCCCTCCTTGAGCACAGAGGCTGTGTTTTTTTGGATTCATACGGCAAAAGTTTCTGATGTCTTTCCATGTCTCTTACATAGTATTTGACATTAAATGTGGCAGTAAAATCATTTTTTTAAATGATTGTACAGTAGCCTTTTTGTACATGTGGGGAGGGGATTCTGGTCAACAGACAGTCAAATGCCTACAAACAAACCCAATAATAAACAAAGTAGGAGTGGATTATGGAAAGTCAGGAGTCACCCATTTAATTCAGAAAACAGTTGATAGAATGACTTTGATATGCCTTTAGTCTGTTGGGCCTTTTTGTTTGTTTTGTTTTTTTGTAATCCACCCTCTGAAAATACTTTCATGACTGATTCTCATTTCCGTTGGAAAAATAACCTATTTTTCTGTATATTTAGCACCGTCCTAAACTGAGGGCCCTTTAATCCAAGACAGCATTTTTTTAATAATTTGTTTTAATTTTTAAAATGCCTACCTTTATGATACTCTTGAACAAAAATATTAGAAACACACATTCTCTCAGAATAAGGGCAGAGCGTACCGGCCAGCTTTAGGCTGAGAGGGGCCAAAATGTCACACAGTTTCCATTTTGACTCTGAAGCGTAAAATATAGTCATTCGGGGCACAGTTGTTTTGTTAGCCCTTTGATACCAGAAACAAAGCACAAAATAAAAATAAAAAATAAGGCAACCCAAGGGGAGGTTTTACTGTTGCAGTGAATCAGGATTTCTTCTGAGTTAGCTTCCGATTCAGCAGACCTCTCAGATTTGTTACAGAAATATCCATCCTATTCGATACAGTAAGAACTGAGACATGAACCAGGAGTGGGCGGTGTCCCCATTTACGTGGCTTTCTTTTGTAATTATCACTTGTGAGACCAGGTCAAATCCTAGATTGGCAGTGAGTACCTGTTGCTGCTTCGCTTGCCACGTAGCCTGTTCAGTGTCGGTAAGACAGGCCTGGGAGTATTTTTGTGGGGCCAGGATGGGGAAGATCTGCTGCGTAATGGAACCGGCCTTTAGCAGAAGGGGGAGTAGGTGTTTGGGACTGTTGTTCTCGTGCACGGTGTCTTGGGCAGAAAATGGAATCCTATCAAGCGCACCCATGAGAACATAAAATTTGTAATCGTTAATAGGAGTACCACCCAGATTTCGCCCTGATGTTTGTCCTCCTTGGGTGTGCTCCTTCAGCGCTTCTAGGGGAAGGCTCCCGAACAGTGGGATGGCCAGTGATCCCGAGACCCAGGTGCACCGTTTCAGACCATGGTGTTCACACACACTCCTTTGCCCCCAAACCTCTGTAACTGAGCCCACAGCCGATCCTGGGGAGGTTGCAAATAAACTTGGGCAAGAGACCTCTGGTTTTCAAATCTTGAAGAAACAGGTTTAAAGCCTCCTTTGCTCTCAGGTATCTAGATGAGCAGCGTTGGAATGGTCCCTCCTGACCTGGGTTTGTCTGGCAGGGACCTGCGAACCTCGTACGGACCAGT